TAGTTCATATATTATTTTATAGGAAGACTAAGGAATTCAATTTATGCAAGACAAAATGTAATGAAACCCGGTGAGCTTTTATGTGGGCCATGCTATGCAAATTTATAGATGTCAATAAGGGTCGCCCTAGTTAACGAAAGGGCCAGAGCTAAAAAAACAAGTGTCGTGAGGAGCTACATTCCTAGAAGATCTAAGCATAGACTTAGTCCTAAACGGCCAACACGAGCTTATAACATTTAACTTTTCTCTTTGGGTGTGGGTGTGTGTCTACACACACACATAGAGTATGAGAATATCCAATACTTGTGTATTCTTCTATTGAGAAAGAATTTCTGTGAGTGCAGGAACAACTAAAACCACTGATGGAGCTACTTGGTAATCTAAAAGAGTTGCCTGTTCCGGAACTTGGAAGTCTTCAAGCTTGGGAAGCCCATGCAAGTGCTGTGGCTCGTGGGGTCAATGGTGATTTTAATGACAATGATCCCTTGAAATTGTCACATGGTGGAACACCTATGCCTTTTGTTGGACAGACAAAGGTTTCCTTGCGATACCTTCTCTTTACCTCTTACACTATGTTTGGTTCAAGGATTTTGGAAGGAAAAGAAAAGAAAATGATTTTCTCTCATTTTCCTCACCAAAATGGGAGGAATTTGGTTTTCCCTCTTTAGTATATTTGTCTTCTCATTTTCTTTTCCTTCCATTTTTCCTCTCCAACCAAACATGAAAAACTGTTTTCCACTTCATTTTCTTTTCCCATTCAAATTCCTTGAACCAAACATAGTGTTAGTCTCTTACACATGGAAGTTCACAATGATGGATCTTGTTCCATCTTCACAATGAGATATTTTGGTGCATGCGTTGTGTTCTGTTTGGTTCAACTGTAGCTTTCGAAAACATTTTTTTTACCTGGATGGATAAATAGCACTGGCATTCAAATGTTGCATTTCCTACCATTATGATAAATTAGTTACCAGCAACAGGGTTGATGCATTCACTTTCTTCCCCTTCTTTGAGCTAAAAATCGCTTGAAAAAAATTGCATGATAAGTGTTTCTCTGTTGGAGTGCTTTCATTTCCTCATTTTCGTGGCTTATGGTATATTATCTGATTTTAAATTCCTAAGTTTTGATTGTTTATTGACAGGTTGATGTTTCTTTCTCTGGTCTTGAAGAAAAAGATGTTAAATCTGAGGGCTCATCTTCACCAAAGAAAAAGTTGCCTCCATGGATGATAAGGCAAGGAATGAACCTCACAAAGGAGCAGCGTGGAGAGACTGTCAAGCAAGAAGAAAAGATGGATGGTACTTCAGGGGCCCAAGAATTCTGCGATGACAAGAAATCCGAGGCTGGTAAAGTTGACGTGAAGAATATTCAGGTTATTGCAAGCTTGCTAAATGTCCCTGCAACTGTTTTCATAAAATCCCTTTTTTGAAGTTGTTTGGTAAGGTAACTTCTGGCTAAAATGAATAAAATGGTTCGATGGGTTGAATTTGGTTAAACTGTATCATCCAAAATATAATATAAAATAAATTAGTGAAAATACGAGTATCCTTTCATTTTAAATGTTTTGAAAAAAAGCATTTTCATTTTCATTATCAGCTAATTCAGCCAGAAACTAAACTTAAATTTGTGTTTGATAGAAAGTATAGTTTTACATACATGGTTTGGATATGTCAGGCTAGTATCTGATAGAGCCTACTCGAGAAGAGTATTATTGTCTTTGACTGTGATAGAAACTCAAATTGATTTGATTGGAGTTAGTTGAATTCACTGTGAACTACTCGTAATACAACAAAATAGATAAATATCCAATAAATCTAAAATTAACCACTTAAGCTATCTAATAGAATAATAGTCCTTGGGTATAACAATCTCCTTGGATCATGGGCCAGGCACAATTCACGTGGGCTGGGCTGGGCACAATATATAGCCCGATAAAGCTGATAAGTAACAAATTAAGGTTATCAACCGGGCACTTCATTTATGTGTGCAGAAGAAGCCTGGCCTTCATAATGATGTGTTATACTTGACCACTTTTACAGGATGAATACATTAAGGCATATTATGCTGCTGTACTGCAACGACAGCAGGAGCAAGTAACAGCAGCACAGAAACTAAAAGAGGAGCAGAATGCGTATGATGCACCCAGTACCTCAACTGAGCGCCAAGTTGGAATGAAATCCAAACGTGAGGACGATGAAGGAGAAGATGGTTTTGATTGGGAGGAAGGAATCCCTGCAGGTAAATTTTTCAAGCGTTTTGTGCAATTATTTCACTATTCATTTTAATCTCCAACCGTGTCGATAGAAGTTGATGTATAGAACCAACTTGCAAATCACATATCAAGGAACAACACAATTGACACATAGAATTAGCCCTTCTACTTTGACCTTCAACCGAGTAATTTTGTTCACACGCTTCTTCTTCCCCGAAGTGGAAGACGTCTCATCATCCCTGTCATATTTAGTTGAGTGTTCTAACCAAGTTGCGCGTTAAATTTAGTTAAAATAACAAACAAGTTCAGAATGATTTTCAATAGTTTTACCTTTGTGATTCATGAAACAAGACTATTTTATGACACGGATGGAGTATATATACTTAATTTTGGTTATTGGTTTTGTGATAAAGGGTTGACTGCATTTATTTATGCATAAGTGAACTATCAATGTATGCATTACATATTTTTTAATGAGTTGTGCTTTCATCATCCTAAGGTCTACATGTGAAATGTAGACCTTCTCACACTTTTCATGGGCAGGCATAGAGATCTTTTATTTTTTTCCAAAGAGCCCAATTCATACGTGATATTTATATGCTAAGGCCCATAAAATGAGTGTAGATCTTATGACCACTGAAGAATTTGTCTTTTTTAATATATGGTCTTGTAATGCTCGTATTATACCACAGCCGCAGGCAGTACATCCGGGAGCTTCAAGGTGGACCTAAACGTCGAAGCAGAGGCTATAGAAGATGAGGAGAATGACGGCCTTGACTGGGAAGAAGGTTAATTGGCAAAGTAGCAACATTTAGCTCGACACTTTTTCCGTGTTCGGATGGCGGTTATTGGGGTTTTCCTTGACTGTTGTGGCTTTTAACATTTTAAAGTTTGAGAAGGGTGGAGATTCGGATATTCGGGCACTGTTTGATTCAATTTGGGATTTTGGAAATGTGGTTTGGTCAAAATGTGACATCTTTGCCATATATTGTTGTATACCATCCTAGTATGTTACATTGAGCTTCCCATATTGAATTCCTAGGGTAGTCCTTCCACTTGATCAAAAGAGGAGGCTTAAATACCTTCAATTACTTGCCTAATAGAATTATTAGCCTATAGAAATGAGTTAAGTTTTTTTTAAAAAAATCCAAATGGATCGCAGTTTTTTTTCCTCAGAGAAGATTTTCCACCTAAAAAAAAGTGTCAATTTTTTTTTGTACATTATTCTCTCTTATATTTGGAGTCTGTTGTGTTTCAATTTTTTTCCCACATTTATGTGTAAGACATTATTATTTGGACAAAGAGGTGCCCACTTAAAAGTATTTAAAATATATGGAGTTAGCATAAATCATTATTTATTGCATTGTCGCACGGATCAATGGTATCCAATATCATGAGTACTCCATGAGATAATAGTGTACAAAATTAGTTTTCTTTATATTGATATTTTTATCTCTGTAATCACACGTCCTCAAAGTATAATATTACGATAATAATAATAATAATGTGAGAATATTCATATTGTACATAGAAGGGAAAAAAGAAAAACATAGAAGCAGCACTTGGAAAAGGAAAATGCAGGAAGGGAAAGAGAAACTATCATCTAAAATTTTTTATTTGTTTACCATGTACCCTTGGTAGTTGGTACACATGAATCTTCTCATCTAATTTTTTTTTTAATTTTTTAATAAATTAAATGAGTAATCATCTTATTTTTAATTAAATTCTATGTGTATGTTAAGTATACATAAGAATTTGCATACAATCTATTGAGAACTTCTATCATTAACTTAATAAACTCCACAAGGATCTTTTCACATAAGTTTTTTTTTCTGTTTTGAAAAAATTAAAAATGCTTAACTTTTTTGGCTTATATGATGGCAAAAAAAATGCTTAAGTTAATAGTAAACAAATGCTTATTTGGCTTATATGAAGGCCACTATAGACCTCAAGTCCATACAAAAATTTACCCAATCTATTATGGGATTTTGGCTTGTGAGTCTCATTATTAGTATGAATTTAATTGATTAATTATTGACTTGACCAAATTTGGTAGAATATCAGATAATGCAAAATTTAGTATTAAAACAAAATATCCCGAGCAACAAAATATTTAGTTCAATTGCAATAGGAGTATTCTTTAAACTTTTGGTAACTATTTAAAATTGTGGGTTTGAAATTGTTGTCAAAGTTAGTATGTCATTTAAATTTGAGTAATAAACTAAAAAACAAAACTGCCAAATCCACTTCCCCTGCCCTTGTAATGCATCAATAACTATAAATAACATGGTTACAAACAACAATGGCGGATTAGAGCCAAGATGATCTTCCGAACCCCGTCCCTGGCAACTGAAAGCGGCATGAATAACTACGTCGTTAGCGGCACGACTTGTGTGATCGGCCGCACCACCACCGCCATCAACACTCGCAACGGCGTGGCATTCAAAACCACCACGGGTTGTGCCATCAGCACCATTCGCGGTGGAGAAGAGCTCATGACGAGAACGGGTCGTGCCATCACTTCGGCCACCCACCATGTCATCAACAGGGCCAGTGGGTGGTCGAAACGGCGGGTTGTCGACGCGTGGCAACGCGCATCAAAGAAAGTTATCAGGTAGAGTAGTACTTCATCTCATATCTTAATTTTTTTGGTTTTGACTTGACTCACTTTTGAATGTAAGAGTAAAAAAGTTAAAGTTTTTGTCTTTGATTGATGGTGAAATAAGTTGGAGAGCGATGTAAAAGGGTAAATATTTGAGAAATTTACCTAAGTAGGACTAAAACATAATGACTTTTCAGGATCATATGTTTTTATTTCCCAATGTAGGATCTTTGGTCATTATCAAGTAGTCATTATTCAACAAAATGTCCATCATTATTGGACATTATTCCTTCCACTATGTCATTATTAAGTCCTATCAAGGGAATAAAAAAGTTTAAGTCCTACATTATGAAAGTCATTATGTTTTAGTCCTATTTAGAACAAATTTCACTAAATATTTTGATTGATGGTTATACCATTTTGGCTAAAGATACAATATGTGCCATAATGAACAATTTTATATTTAGAAATACAATAGAGTAATATTAGATATTCCGTATGAGATATAAAATTATCTATTTAATATGAAAGCAGTGAATTTAACAAAAAAAGGTGTGAATTCATACTATGAATTTTGTAGGTATTTACAAGTTGCATTAATTTATACTTTCTTTCACCCAAAAAAATTCACATTTGTGTTTATATTTGTTCCAAAAATATTTTCTTTTCTTTTGAGTATGAAATTATGCGGTTTATTCAACTTTTTTCTATATAGAACTCAATCACACATTTTTAAATTTATTAGTTACTTTGTTCCGATCGTTGTGAAATTAAATTTTATTATAAAATATAGGAAAAATTACCCAAAATAATCCCAACTTTACCCGGTCTTTCAAAAATAATCTCACCTTTCCCTGTGATGCATACTAATCCCAATTTTACTAAAATTTGCCAGTTTTGGGTCACCGTTAAGTTTCTAACGGAGGGTTAACGGAAATTCCCGTTTTAGGCAACAAAATGAAAGTTGAGATTATTTTTGATGAATTTTCATTTTTTTTATTTTTTTAAATTTTTCATTTAAATTTTTTAAATTACTTTCTACCTCCATCATCATTTCTTTTTCCTTTTTTAAAGATTAGTCTTAGTTTAAAAAATAAAAATAATAGATATAAAAAATGAAAAAATGAGAAATGTAACTAAAATGATACAAAAATAATAAAATAAATAAGGTAATCAATGGAAACTAACTTGAAATTGGTAAAAGTAAAAATAAAAATATACGGGTGGGTTTTAATATTTTACGCATTATACAAAATATTAACATATCACTTCTTATTTTTTAGAAAAAATTATTTACAATAATAAGAACTTTACCGGACGGCTTGTTCTTTTAAAAAAAGTAGTACATTAAGAATTTGTAGTGTGTAAAATGATAAAACCCACCACTCCGTATATATTTATTTTATTTCTTACCAGTTTCTGTTTAATTTCTATTGATTACATTATTTATTTGATTAATTTTGTATGGTTTTAGTTATTTTTCTCATTTTCATTATTTTTTATATCTATTTTTTTTCTAAGGTAAGAATAATCTTTAAAAAAGAAAAAGAAATGGAGGTTGAAAGTAATTCAAAAAATTTAAATAAAAATTTCAAAAAAA